ATATCGTTCTTGAGAAGAGAAGGGTCAGTGGAAGCTCCTCGGCCGGATGAATTGACCCAGCGACTGCGGCAAGGGGTTCAAGCACACAGAGATGGGAGGACAGTGCAAGACCAAAGATCCCGATTGTTGGACAAAGGAGCGCTGTGAGTCACAGTCAGCTCTCAGGCACCTACCAAGATGTTTTAAACGAAACTGAAGAACCCGTAGCTGTAGAACAAATCTAGATGGTGACAAGTCATTTTAGATGTGGTTTCAATCGTCGTAGCCATCACAGCTCTTTATAGGGGGCACATGGACAACGTTGTAAAATCCTTATCTGTGCATCCCTTTCATGTTATTACTGACAACCTTTTGGGGAGAGTGCCAGGCACTACTTGGACTGTAATGCCACTTGAGTGTGACTCCAATTCTCCAAATGTAAGCCTGAGAATACAAGCCCCGCCTACTCTACTGGCCCCGTGTATTTGTTTTTGAGAAACCTCAACTTGTTTTTGTGAAAATGAACCCTCTTGGGGAAGCAAACTCTCCCCCTCAGCTGTCCCCTGGGAGGCTGCGTGTGACACCTGCGTCCTGCTGTTTGGAGAAGGACCCAGATGTGCGGGAACTGGGCACCTGGATGAAGAAGTGTGGTCTAGGCCGCGGTAGTTCCTCCCTCTGCTGGGTCACAGTCCGACCCGACCCACGCAGTTCTGAAGACGCTCCAGCCTGGAGAGCAACCCCTTGCAGGCTTGACTTGGGGGCATGGAGTCTGAACTAACTCAGAATGGATTTTCAGAAGCCATAAATCCCACTTGTATGACTTTCGTCCTTTCTCCAGGTTCACAGGGTTTCCAGAGGCAAGCTATCATGGAAGTGGATGCCACTCCTGCTTCCAAGCTTGTTTTAATTGGGGAGCTTCACCAAACACTGTCGATCATGGGTGACCATTCTCTCATTTGACTCATCAGCGTCACAGTGTTTGGCTTCACAGCAACCACGAGTTACCTCTCTACAGCAAGTGGACAGACCAGGATTATACGACCTAGAGGAATGTTTCACCAAAAACAAGTAAAGGCAGGCCTGAGGGCCGTGGAGTAGAGTCACCCACCTTTGGCTTGGGAGCATGACTTTGGTTTATAGGGTCGTTATGAGTCGCCTAGACTCGACGACACTTAATAACAACAACAATATAAATCAATGAAAACCAATATAAAAAGGAGGAGAATGTTCATCTTTCTCCCTCGGAATAGCTGGTGGAGTCAAACCTTGTGCTCTTGGGATCGCAGCACAACTCCTTTCCCACTAGGCCACAAGAGCACCAGGATGCATTTCTCAACAATTGGGTTATCTCATTACTGTAGTAATACATAACATAACCGTGTTTCTCAACAATAAAGAACTTGAGATTAACTTGCATCACTGCAAAAATCAAGGTGTGCTTGTGTGAAGCTATGAAAGTGCCAGTTACTCTTCACATTCCCTTCGTGTGTTGCTAATTCAGACAGAGTGGAGTATTAGAATGTACACATTTCTTAAAATAACATCTTACTTCTTTAAAATAAGAATATGATCATTTTCATCACCTGGAAAACCCTAAAGCCAGCAGTTGCTAATCTGGGCCAACACCAACCCTGGAAGCCTTGTTCCACACGTGGGTTGTAGAAATGAGGGCTGGAACTCTTTTGACCTTGTAATCTTTTCTGAAAATTGAAAAGCTAGTAGATATGAAAAGCTTTATTGTGAATTTCCCAAGAACCGAACAAATATTATCTCACAGAACGGGAACATTTTGATAGTTGATGGTATTTGTGCTACTTAGTGATACTTTTTCCTATGTGCTGACGATGATTCTCAATCAGGCTTCCAGCATTTCTGGCTCCTAACACCCTTCGTTCCTCCCACTAACATCCCTGACAGGGAGACAGAGACATCCTAGAAAGCTTCCCACGGGAGGGAGAGTGAAGTGTGAGGTGGTTACGTGTTGCTGTGATGTCTGGCATCTTGGTGGACCCCACTCTCTCATCTGCCAGTACCTTGGCACATAACTTAATTTTTTTTTTAATTTGCACCAATGTTCATACCTTAACTCTTTTGGGCTCCGTTTCCTCCATTTCTCTACCAGCAAAACGTATAAAAACAATGGCAAAACACCAAGCAAATGCATGCAAAGTCCATCAGTTTAGTCAGTTTCCACCCACGGAGACCCCTGTGTGTGCAGAGAAGACCTGCTATGTAGGTTTTAAGGTTCCAAAATGTCTTTTTCTTTTTTTATAAATTTTTTCTTTCAATTGTGATTTTAATGAAAGTTTACAGAAAAGCTGGATTTCTCATTCATTCCTTTGATATATATATATTTAAATAAATTTTTTTAATTGTCATTTTAAAAAAAGTTTATGGAAAAGTTAGATTTTCATTCATTCATTCATTGTTTCACATTTTACCCCTTCTCCCTCCCTTCCCCCTCCCCAAGCTGACTTTTTCCCCACTAATTTACAAAATTCTAATACAAATTTGAACAAATTATTTCAATTTCCCTAACCTTACCTATCAAATTGCACATATTTTTACTCCCTTTCCCTCCCCTTCCCCTCCCACAGTTCACTATTTTTAAAAAAATATATTCATTCACTGTTGCACAATCAAGGTGCTGTAATTTCTAAAGCAGATCACCAGGTCTTTCCTCCTAGGTACCTCCTACTGGTTCAGAACTAGCAGGTTGAACCTATCCTTCCGCCCAGGGCCTCCTACTGCCAGCAATTCAAAGCTAGAGCTCTTTCTGGAAGCAAACTGCCGCATCTTTCTCCTGACGGATATCTAGTGGGTTCAAACCAAAGACCTCTTGGTTAGCAGCCGACCACTTAACCACTGTGCCACTAGGGCGCGCTCTCTGTATCATAGAGATGTTGTAAGGATTAAATGTGATTATATTTGCAAAGAGAGAGTTCTGGGTGTGTAGACCGGAGGGAGTTACACTAATCCAAATGTAGTGTTTCTCCGACGGCTCAGTGGGAGAAAGATGGACAATCTCCTCCCATATGATTTACTGCCTTGAAAAAACCCAGCTATGAGTCGGGTCCAACTAGACAGCAATGAGGTGGGTTTTTAATGCCGAGGGCCTTTAGAGTACTTAAAGAGCAATGCTGTCACTTTAAAGACTAAGGTGGGCCTGACCCAAGTAATAGTATTTTCATATCCTTCATATGTTATGGAAGTTGGACAATAAATAGGCAAACCAAGAAAGAACTGATGCCTTTGGATTGTAGTATTGGCAAAGAATATGAATATACTGTGGATGGACAAAAGAATGAACAAATCTGTTTAAGAAGAAATTTAGCTGGAAGGCTCCTTCGAGGCAAGTATGGTGAGACTTCTTGGCACACACTTTGGGCATAGTGCCACGAGGGGCCAGTCCCTAGAAAAGGACATGATGCTTGGAAAGGCGGAGGGTTAGTGAAATGGGTAAGACCTTCAATGAGATGGACTGATGGACCGACTGGCTGAAGCACAGGAGAGAGTGTGAAGATGGTGCCGGATCTGACAGGGCTCCACCCTGCGGTACCTCCAGGTTAGCTCTGAGTCACAAGTGACTGGATGCACCGAACAACAGCAGTGTTAGAAAAATGCTCTGAAACAGTACAAACGGGTGACTACTTGCTTCTAAATCTCTAAGACCAAGCATTTCGAAAATACACTGCTTCCTGAGAGGCCCTTTTTAAAAGGAAAATTTTTTAATTCCAAAAACTCCTACTGGAGAATGACTCTGATTTCCAAGGTGCTCTTACAAAACACTCCATATTCGTTAGGCACTAAATTTCCCAGAGCTTAAATATTCCCTGCTTTTGTCTATTTTAGTGGTATTCCGGGTCAGTATTTCAAACGGATCTTTATTCTGAATGAGTGATTCCTTCTATTTTTGAAAACTAAGGCAGTTAAGTTAGTTGCTAGGTAAACATCGGTTGTTGGTTTGGGTTTTGTTTTGTTTTACAACCTCAACACTTTTATGCTTTAATGTTAATGAAAATTTTAACTTAGTTCACCTGCTAGGCTCTAGTCATAAATATTCTATTCACGCAGGGGGAAATCCAAGCCGCTTGGACTGCTCTAAGGTCCATCCTGCAGCTTCTGACAACAACGCTGATGGGGAGAGCCAGCTGGGCCGCAGACTCAGCGTCACCAGGGCCACAGTGGCCACACCGTAAACCCCGGCGCCTCGCGCTCCAAGGGGACGCACGTTTCCGGTAACAACCTCCTTCCCTCCACGTTCCCCAGGGAAAGGGGGTGGGGGCTGTCTTGCCGGTTGCCTGGACTGACATCACTTGCTCGGGCTGGTAGCGGGCTCCCCTTCCCGGGGTCTGACGGCATTAACCTCTCCACTCCCGGCGCGCGCTCTGGGAGGTGCCCTAATATGGTCAGACTCCGCAGGAGCCTGGGGCGCAGCTTTCCTCCTGCCAAAAAGATGCATGTTTAGCTTGCAGCACAATCGGAAGGGAAGCAAAGGGAGCCTGGGGATCGCTTTTGAGACGCCAGTTGAAAGTCGGCTGCAGCAAAAGCGCCTACCTTGGGTTATCAATCATTTCAGAAAAACCCAGCGAAAGCACGTTCCTGGGAGCCTGTCTGCTCGCCCCCTTCCTAGCCCCTCCCCACCTCCTGCACCCCCTGCTTGTGCCGGTGGTCCTGGAGCCCGGGGGTCAGGGTGGGCTAGCCTGGGGCCTGAGCCCGGGTCCTGGCAGCAGGGGGATGCTGCTGCAAGGCGTGTCTGGGCGGTGCTCATGTGATGCAGGGAGGGAAAAACAAGGGGCGGGGACCAGGCGCGAGGTGGTGGCTTTTTTTTTTTTTCTTTTAAGGAGTTTGCCGCGAGCGCGTCTCCTTCATTCGCAGCCGAGGCGCGGCGGAGGCCGGCGGAGAGGAAGGCGCGCGCGGGACGTGGCCGGGCACCGAGCCGGGCACCGAGCTCCTCGCGGACCCTACGCTCCGGCAGAGGCGGACCCCGCGGCTGAGCGCGGGCGCAGCGCCGAGAAGCCATGGGCGCCGGCAGCTCGAGCGAGCAGCGCAGCCCCGAGGCGCCCGAGGCGGGGAGTGCGCCTCTGGCCCAGCCCGAGCCCGAGCCCCACGCCAGCGGCCCTGGGGAGGAGGCGGCGCCCGGCGCGCTGGAGGACCCTGACGCGAAGGTAGGGGCGCGGGCACCTGCTGGGACATACTTTGGACATGTTGCAATGAGAGACCAGTCCTTGGAGAGGGACATCATCAGGGGGGGGGGGGGGGGAAGGGGCGGGGGTTCCGCTCGTTCCCATCGGCCAGAACTTCGTCCTTGCAAACTCGATCGCCCCCTCTGTCTAGGCGCCGGGGCGGGACTAGAACCGTGGCGTGCGCGGCCCGGGACTTGCATCTTTGTGTGTGGGGTGCCCGGGGGAGATGACTGCGCTATCCGCAGTCAGGAAATGCGCCCCAGCACATCGCCAAAGCTTTCTGCGCGCTCTTCTGGGAACGAACCCCCAACCCAGGGCCGGGAAGCCCGAGCCCCTGGCCCTTTCTCAGATGTGGAGCGACCCCTGTGCCGCGCCCCAATCGGGATGCCAGCTGTGCCGGTGGTGGCCAGGTTGGTACCATCCTCCTGCGGCAGCCGATGGGGCAGATGCAGCCTTCGCGGGCCGCGGGGTGCAGCGCGCTCAGCAGAGACAACCGGGCAGACGCCCCTGTCCAGAAGAAATGACAGGTTGCCGCGTCCACCCTTTTGGGTTCAGTAGGACTCAGTTGGCTAAATAGAGATTGGAATAGTTGTGAGAAGTTCTCAAAGGATGTGGCTAGAGGCACGATCGAGCAATCCCCGCCCTGTTATCTATGCAGGTGAAGCTGAGCCTTCCAGAGCTTGGAAATGCTGCGTTTTATAAGAGGTTCTAAGTCTACAGGGCGTCCCCAGCCGCCAAGGTTGTGACTTGGCGTGGCCGTTGTATTCTGGGTCTGTGTCCCAGCGCGTGCTCATGAAACTGGGCGTCACCTCACTTGCTTTGTGACATCCTTCTAGAAGATGTGATAGCCATACTTAATACCCTGTCGAATTGAAGGACTGTTTAATCTCCCCACACTATGACTTCGTTGCCTTGATAGCTGTATCTGCCCTCCCCTCTTTGGGTGAGAGATCGATTAATAAATGACGTTTACATCTGGTCTTTCCCTCTAATTTAATTGCTTGTAAGACCCTTGGCCCAGGAGCTGTAGAAATACTGTGCTAACTGGAACCTAAGCTTTTGGTCCAAGGAATGAACTGTGCTTCAGAGGATGAATATTTTAGTATTATTCATCACCTTATGATGCCAGCTATGATCAGAATGACTTCATAAGCCGTGATTAAACTCCAGTGTTGAAAAGTGATTTCTGGGTTCCATTTGAAAACTTGCACGGAGGGCACCTTCCCCCTGGCCTTTGGCTTTTATTATTCATCCAGGTCTCCTATGCTGCACAAATGACCGTTCGGCTCGTCCTCCCTTTCCAGTAAAGGTGAATTGTTCTCAGGCACTCCTCACATGCCCTTTTCCATAGCCTTATCTGTCTTTCTCTTTCCTAAGTCCCCGCCATCTTGGATAGCCACCCTCCTTCTGGAACATGATTGAAATGATGTCCAGGACATCAGTGAACTGCTTGGCCCACTGCCCAGTTATCAATTTGGAGATAAATCAATAAACTTACCCGTACCCTTGAAAAAATGTGTGGCATTTCATTTCAACCAGCAAAATTTATGACTCAGGGTTTGAAGACCTCAGTAAGGTGGTATTTAGTTAGGGGTAGTTGGGGTTTTTTTCCCCCCTAAAGGGCTCCCCAGTTGCGAATGACTCAGCATGTTACCTTTACTTCCTCTCTTGAACTTTAAGCTCAAATTCTTGACCTCTTCTACTCTAGGCTTTCAAAGCACCATGGTCCCCTGTTCTCAGACTTTTCCACCATCATGAAGTTGCAGACACCACTTGGGAGTGTTCTCAAACTATTTTGAAAGCTTTCCCCAGGCAGAGATCATACCTATTTCACTCATGATTGGTGTAACAAATATTTGCACGTAGTAGGCTTTCAAGAAATACTTGTGGAAAGAAGGAAGGTTTCTATTATTTGCTCTGTTTCAAATTGAAGCTATTCTTGGTCCTTGAGTATCAGTGATCAGATAGTGACTTCAGTCAGTATGTAGGATTATTAATCATGTGTGAGTTTTGGTGTGTGTTTTGCAAAAAAGTCAGGCATGTGCACTTGGATTTAATTTTCTGTAGACAGCATATGGCTTAGTATTGCATTTGATCTAAAATACAACACATTCAAATTGGTCAGGTAAGGTTGCTTCATATTTAAGTTAGGAATTGCATCTGGAGCTTTCTGGGTGTATGAACATTTAGGGGGAATTTAGGCTAGTAAGCGCTTTCTCTCCATGGGGTGGGGGAGGGTGGTAGGTGCCATTGAGTTGATACCACTCACAGCAACCCTGTGAACAAAAGATCAGAACCATGCCCTGCCCTGCGCCATCCTCAACAAGATCTATCATAAATTACAAGCTGTTGGCCGACTTTTCCCCAGCTGAATGACATTTATATTACGTGCATGTTGCCTAGTTAGTAATTAGGTTTACTTTCCCTTTTTTCTGCTAATTTCAGCTATCAGCTGGTGTCTGCTTCTGAACTAACTGCGTTATCAGTCCCAGCTCTTAGCAGGTCCAAAGGATAGTTCAACCAGATTTTGGTTACTTAAGATTGAGACACTCTGACGCAAAAATGGTGTTATTGTCTGTGGCGTGGTGTATTTTAAAAAAATGGAAAGTACACCTTCCAGACACCACCCCTCCCCAGCCCCACCCCCAGCCCCAATCAAACTTCACGTGTGAACTTTTAGGGAAGATTACTTGTTTAACCATTTTGCTAGGTTTAATTTTGAGACTTTTGTCTACTTCTGGGGCCAGGAAGATTAGCTTGTCTAAATACAGGAGGTAAATAAAGCCTTGCCTCATTCCTAAATTTGTCTTTGGAAGAGTATTTGCAGGTAGCAAGAAAGGATGGAGTGACCAGTGATGAGTTTACTTGAGTGGTGTTTTTTATGTTTGTTTCTGGAATCAAGGTTCAAAGGTATGGATTGATGAGTCTTTTCATATGCTTTCTGTAGACAGTGGTTTTAGAGATAGAAATGCAACAAGGTGGCAGCCCTTCAAACTGTGGTTCGTTTGCTTACAAGAACCCATAACGTGCTCTCTTGGGTGAATCCTTGTCAGCTTCCAGATTTAAGTGCATCCCTGCCTTTGTGTATTGAAACCAACAACAGAGTTGGCCGGATGCATTTCCTGATTCCTCTCTCTCTATACTTCCTGCTTGCCCTCACTTCACATGTGGGCATACAGGATGAAGGTGACCTTAAAGTCCTTAGTATTGCACCAAAAGGGCTGGAAAGTGATTAAGAGAGAATTTCCTGTTTGTTAATGTTGTGGGGTGCCATTGATTCTGACTCAGCAAACCTGTGTGACATAGTAGAGTTGTCCCATGGGCTTTGCTAGGTCTGTCTTCCTGGGAGCTTCTGGGTAGGTTTGAACCACTGATCTTTTGGTTAGAAGCCTTGTGCCTAACCTTTAGACTACTTGGTTACTATGAACGGTCGGTCAGGTTAATAACTGATAACTGACCCTCTGGTAGGTTTTTCAGAGACAGTAAATTGCACGGAAGGAGGTTGCTCGTTTTTCTCCCTCAGAGCAGGGCAGCAGGTAGATTTGAACCATATGCCTTCAGGTTGGCAGCACAGCTCCTTACTCCTAGACCACCAGAACTCCCTTTGGACTACTAGGGCTACTTTTGTTACTAAAGGCATGTTTGTATGTGTGTCTATCTTCTTCCTATGGATTTTTCCAGATTATAAAAGATACTGCTTTCCAATTAGAACCAAATTAGGGACCAAAAATGGGGAGAGAAGTGTGTGTGTGTGTGTGTGTGTGTGTGTGTGTGTGTGTAGGTCAGCTAGGAATCCTGGGAGGATAGAACACCTTCTCCGTAGTCTAGTATAGACTGGTAGATGTGGAGAACGGTCTCTGGTAGTGCAGTGGTTAAAGCACTTGGCTGCAAACTGAGAAGCTAGTGCTTCAAACCTACCACCTGCTTCATGATCTGGCAGTCTGCTTCTAGAAAGATTTTTTTTAAAAGACCTCTTTGATACTGAATCCCTTCCTGTCATAATGACCCTGTAAGCGTGAGTAGAACTGTGCTGTGGGATTTAGGGCAGGAATCCAAGCCCAGAGCCCACTGGAGGGTTACGAGTTGAAATCCACTTCAGTGACTGGGGTTTTGGCAGTGATTATTGTTTGTTTCTTTTTAATCATTATGGAATGTGACTGCCACACTTTATCCCTGAGGAGAAGGCATGGCTCGAACCACGACTTTTTTTTGGATTACAGCCAAGCACTTTAACCACTGCGACACTAGGGCTCCTTCCCATACGGAATCCAGGCTTGGAAACCACTCTGTCCAGCAGGTTCAGTTTAGGAGTATGAGGCCAATGGAGAGACTTCCACTTGAACTCCGCGCCCCTCTGAGGATCAAGGTTCAGGCGTGCATCCTTGGGTTCCTGCTGAGAGGATTCCTATCTGCCACTTTATGACTTTAAGCCACACTGTTCGAAGGATTGTTCTAGCTTGATATTTTATGAGATAAAATAAAATTACAGTAAGATGTCTTGCTATAAAGAAATACTGGGATGTAATTTCTTTTATTCTTCATCCACTTTACTGCGTATTTAGTACTTAAATAGAATACCAGAGAAAGTAAGATGCTGCTCCATGGTGCCTATCCTTGGTCTCATCATTCTACACTCTCTAGTCAGGCGGAGGGTGAAAAATTATACCTACAGCTTTCAGCGTTCTGGGAAGACTATAATACATGCTTTTGCTTCTTCGAAAAAGAGACACTAAATGTCCTTAGTTCTCTTATAAAGGAAAAATAAAGACATAAAAAGGAAGACATTCCAGTTTAGAATAAATGAATTTTTTTTGTGTGTATGTGTGTGTACCGTCAAATCAGATCTGACTGGTACAGGAGGAGATTGTCCCTCCTTTTCTCAGCAGAGCATCTGGTGGATTCGAACCGTGTGCCTCTGGGATTGTAGTTGCAGCTCCTTGCCACTAGGCCACCAGAGCTCCCCTAAATGAATGTATTTTAAAAATCATATAGTGGAAAAATATGTGGAACAGAAAAATACTGTATCTTATAAATGTACATGCTTATTGTTATGCTTTTAAATAATACTTGTATTATATTTGTTGTAGTTAGGGAAGGGATTTTTGGCTGGAATCTAAGCTGGTGGCCAGGTCTTTACTTCTCAGAGCCATTGAGTGAATTTGAACTGACAACCTTCCTGTTATCAGATCCACGGAAACGAATTAACTATCGATTAGATTTTGAACTGTTTTCCTGCAAAACCATCTTACTGGAGAATATATCCAAACCAAACGTTGTGTCGTCATGTTGGCTAGGACCCCTGCTGACCTTGGGAACAATGGACTTGAACCCTGCCCTATGTGGCACCCTCACCATTTCTACCATGCTCAAGCCACACCTGTGGCACCACTTGGAGGAACCTGTAGGAAGAGCAGAGCTGCCCTGTCCAGTTCCCAAGGTTGTACATTGTTATGGAAGCAGCTTGCCTCCTCCTTTCCCTGCTCCAGGTTCCTGGCACAGAGCTTGGGGTCAGCCATTGATTGAGCTCTTCACTGCATCCCAAGGCTCCAGTACTAAAAGAGATTGTAGGGAGTATTTTGTGTCTGTGGTAATTCTTTTATTTCCAACTCATTTGTTGTTATTATTCGGTGCCCTCCGGTCATTAGACATCTCATAAAAGGGTTGTGTGACATATTAGTAACTTGTAATGGATTTTGATTTCTTATCATGAGCAATTGAGTTTTCTTGTTTGGAAGTGAC